GACTTTAAACTGAACTGAAGAAGCTGCTTGGATGGTGAAACATCTTCAAGGAAAAAGCCTTTGGAAACTGTGACCTGGATGACTGAGAATCTCCATAGACATTACATTGTATACTGTTTTCTTTAATTGCTTTTTTTAAAAAAACCCTATTTAACATAATCTGTCATTCAAATACAGTATTTAGCTTTGTACCAAGGGATTCATAGGGATTTTACCTCCCTATCAGCTCCAGCCAAGCTAATGGCCACAAATTATAAGCTCCAACAACATTTGGAAGTGACAACATTGCCTGCTATTGTTTATATTGCAATCTATTAACCAACAGTAATTTGAAGAAGTAAAATGTAGTAAGTAGAAATCATATACAGTATGATATTAAGGAGGCTAAATGAAATCAAATAACATGAATTCATTATTTGTTGTAATCTAGTCTTCTGCAGAGTATGACAGTTTCTTAAAATTCATGGAAGTTAATAAATATATATATTTGCTTCTTATCTTTAAAGTACTTTAAAAACATCAACACTAATTTTTTGTACATATGTAGGAAGATGAAAAATGCCATAAATTTGTTTTATAAATTTACTTGGGTCATTTAACACTGAGAGCAGGCTCCCATATCACATTAAAAACCCATCCCTTGATTTTAATGCTGACCCTCTTAAGAAGTGGCCTGAAAATAGGCCGAATTATCAATGAAGAGGGCAACAGAATGTCAAATCTTTTTGTCTTGTAGGTCAGTGCATTGCTCATTAAAAGTAAATGTTATTATGTATAGCAACTGAATTAGCAAAGAGAAAAACATAAAGAGGGCGAAAAATTAAGTAATTAGAGGTGATTAAGTGAATGGCCAAACTGTCATTAGAAGGCTTGCAAAAGCTTTTCCCTTAAGGTCACAAATGTGAAAACTACACAACCTGTAACTATAGGGCAGGGGTCAGCAACCTGTGGCTCTGGAGCCGCATATGGCTCTTTCAGCCCTCTGCTGCAGCTCCCTGTCATTCAAAATATGCGTCACAACCACTAGTATGCGACATCAGCTGGCACGCGATTTATTGAGCTTTTTAACCCTGGTAGGCCAGCCATGGATAAATCCAAGAAAAGAAAAGTTTCAAAAGAAAACAGAACGTTTAATTCAACTACATATGCTAGTTTTGTGGCCGCTCAAGAAATAGTCAGGCACAGGAAGGATTTTGTGGCTCCCGGTGTTTTTCTTTTCTGTGGGAAATGGGTCCAAATGGCTCTTTAAGTGTTTAAGGTTGCAGATCCCTGCTATAGGGTAATCCTTTCTGACGTATTTCCTTACCTAAACAGAATGATCACAGATTGGCTAACCTGAGGAACTGCCTGCTGCTTTGCTGAGGGAAGGGAGGACAAACAAAACTGTGAACCATGAGGAGATTTAAAATTTTAGCCTCGGTTTCAAAGTAATCAATTGCCATTTACTTCAAAGATATTTAAACAGAGAAACAGAATGTCCAAAGGCAGGCAAAAAAGCTGTGGGAGCAGGAGTGACTTCTGATTTCCTGCTGGCTTCCCCATTGAATTTCCTGGTGAAAATCTGGCAGGGAGCACTGGAAATCTTCCTCCTTTCCTTTCCTTTCCTTTCCTTTCCTTTCCTTTCCTTTCCTTTCCCTCCTCCCTTCCCAGCAAGTATTCCCTGCTATTTGAGGCAGGGAGCAAGGGATTGAAAGACTGTCTTGGAAACTGTCATGAAATATTGGAAATGAAGAACATGTGAGCATTGCAGCAGCCCTATAGTTCACCAGCAGCCAGTATGGTACACTGAAGCAGCCACAAATTTCATTCCTTTGGGAATTATGGATCCTGGATTTTAGCCCATTTGAAGAACCTTAGGTCAAAAATTGTTGCCCTATGATGCACCATTCTGCCCAATTAAAAGTCATGATAGTTTAGGTTTTAGCAATATATAGATATAAAATGAAGAAAGAAAAATTCTCCATAAAAATGTGTTTTAGTGTGAACAGACTGTACGTTTGGTTTTTTTATGACAAACATTACATTCAGTAATTAAAAAAAGAAAGGAAATGAAAGTCTGTTATAAAATGTCTTTTCAGTAATGGAACATAATTACATTTGTTGTATAATTTGGATCGAATCCAGTAGCTTAGGGTTTTAAGTTGATTTTAATTATGTTTTTACAATAATTAGTGGGCCAGGTTGTGGTACCATGCTGTTGAGCACTAACAAGCCAAACACATACCCAGTGATGCACATCTGGCCTCAGCAATCTTTGCATGAATTTTTGCTGTTTTGTTTGGGTAGCTCATGAGATTTTATTGTCTCAATATAACAGGCCCATCTTGCTGTTTATCACCATACATTTCATACAGAATACTCACAACAGAATACCTGTGGCTCATATCAAATATAGTCAACCTAAGATGGCCTTTCCTAATCCAGTGGCCATTATTGCAGCCTAAAATTGGAAGGACTATGCAGGCCGTTGAATTTTAACTTCCTGCTCACTACAGGGATCCAAATAAAATTATTAGGTAGATTACTGTCCGACTGCTTGACTACATATAATAAAGGGAATCCCATCACCCGGCCAAATTTCTTATATCATTAGGATGCTTTTTTCTAATTTTCAATTTATCCATATTGTTTAATGTGCTGCATTGAGTTTTGGGTGGAATATGTTATAAGGATGCCATCAAGTTCAAAGACAAAAATAAAGATGAATTGATCAGAAACTAAGTTCTATCAGAAAGGTGGAAGGAGTAGGATATGTTTAAACTAATTTGAAGACAGAAGATATATGGTTGATACAGAATATCACTCATATATCTTCTAGTATCTGAAGAGTTATCATGTAGATCAAGATCTATTTCTCCAAACTGCAGGCCATTGAAGAATGACTTTACACGAAGGTATATTCTGGCTGTATTGGAAAAAGCTCCTCACCCCTAACAATATGAAAAGATTGGCAGTAGAATTAATTGCTTACAGAGATTATGGAGTATCTTCAGTGTAGTTAGACAAGCATAAACTGTACCTTTTGAAATGGTTCATGAAAAGTACAAGCATAAGAAAAATCTCCCTACAAATGGAGACATTGCATAAATATCTTATGAATTTTATTTTTGTCTAGTACAATTTAAATCTCTATTAACAACTATGTATATAAGCATATGATAAATCAACTTTGGGTAAATATTTGTTCCTTCAGTATTCTAAAGATAGATTATTTCATCTACTCCTAAATACCTATATATGAACTCATACATATATTTCAATCAAGCTGCAGTTGCAGTTGTGCTTTTTATAATTCTTCAGGGCAATATGTATCCACTTTTGGAGAAGACCAGCCAAAATTCAGTTGTTCTGCCTCTTTTTTGGAGGGAGGAGGTCTTTTGGCATACTCATTAAGCAGTGAACATAATGCTTATTTATTCTTCCTGTTATTTTAAGTATATATTAAGAAAACTTTCTTTTAAAAATTGTTTAGCATCATTTTCCAATGACTTTCTAAACATCAGTCTTTCAAACATCATCTTAACTATTATGTATTATTCACATGGGACTGAATTCAACTGCCATCATTCCCAATAAATTTTGTCATTGATCTAGGCTACTGTCAAGCCTAGAATCTCAGAAGGAACATTAGTCTATTTACTGCATTAGTTTCCATAAGGGAGGCTTTTTTTCAGCCCATATTTCTTCTATAGCTTAGCCCTAAAAGATTCACCTATATCACCACAATGTGCTATAAATAAATATGGAAATTGAGCCTTAAGGAAGAAATGCCAGTAGTATATAATCAAGATAGTAGAGCTGTTTTTGGCTCCTTAGTATATTCAAAGCTCTATTGGTTCCTGAAAAGAGCCTTGATAGTACAGGGGTTTAAGGCACCCTGTTATTAAGCTTATTAAGACCAGCTGCCTGCAATTACTGCAGGGTTCGAATCTCGCCAAGGCTCAAGGTTGACTCAGCCTTCCATCCTTTCTAAGGTAGGTGAAATGAGGACCCAGTTGTGGGGGCAATAAGCTGACTTTGTATAAATATACACAAAAGGATGAAGGCTATTGCTGAGCACATTGTAAGCCGCCCTGAGTCTTCGGAGAAGGGCGGCATATAAATCAAATTAAAAAAAAAATGATTTCTGATTAGAACAAGAAGACAGAGAACTGGTACACATCTTATAAAAAGATAGACAAACAATCAAGCACTGGAAAACACTTTCCAACTTACTAACTATTTGAATCCAAATCTATCAAGTATCAATAATAAAAATATTTTTGGTTAACTTTACTCTTTATATTATCTATCAGGTTTCCAACGTTCGATTTGAAAAGGGGGAAACAAAGAGAAGAAGTGATGTAACACTACCTGGTGTAACAGAACCTGTCATATTGATTTTATTTGAAACAACATTTGGTCAATCAATCAATCATGTTCCACATATATAGATTTTCATCTAAACTCAGGCGACTCTTAAGAAATTACCTACCGTATATTATACTATCTTAGCTACATGTAACTTCTATATGAACTATCTTGCCTCAATAAGTGAAAACTTTCCAGGAGCCCAAGAAATGAGCATTTCCAGCCTGAGTCCCAGATACTTTTAAAAAGAGATGCCCAATATTGGAATAATAAAAGTCTCAAAGCAAAGCAATTCCCTGGCACAGGAGCAGACTACTTGTAGGACAGGAGTTGCTACCCTGAATGCATGCATATTCTGTGTACATCCCCTGTTCATTTGATATATAAGTATTGCTCTTCTTTATAGCCATGATGCTTAAGATCAAAACATTGCAGCTAAAGGTATGCAAATTTCATTTTGTCTGTTACATGCCCTAGCTATTCATTTTTATCCTTTTTGCCCTTCTAATATGTACAATCAAGTATTTCTTTAGTTTGTTTTGTGCTATGGATTTTCTTCATTTGAAAAGACCATCCTAAGATTAATGAATGAAACACGGAAGCCGAGCATAAAACTGAATGAATTCTAACAAAGGATATAGTTCTCTCACCTCTTCTTTTTCAGCACTCTGCAAATCTCGCCATTCTTCAGTCACATGACCAAAATCTACAGTGTTCATGGCAACTTTATATTCTCCAATAATATCATGCTTAGAAAAGCGGTCAAAGTCATATACTGCCATCACTAAAGTTTTTCCTCCCAGTTCAGAATACGGCACCTAAATTAGAAAAAGAGAGAGAGAAAAAAGTAGCCACTTATAACATCTTTAAAAGTAAGTATGCCTTGACTGCAATTCAAAACCTTTCCTTTATTATCTGCCATCCCTGTTTAACTGAAAGTAGGGAAAAGGCATATTTTCTTGCAGAGGCCTTTGATGACATTTTTTAATGGCCGCAATACAGCAATCCATAGAACAATGTGGTAGCTCATTCATCAATCAGGAAGTTTTGCCTGGAGTTCTAGTAGTTACTCTCCATCATGAAGCTAAAGGCAAATTATCTGCCCCAGACACATAAGCTTTCAATACTGTAGGAACTTCCCTTCAATAAATCATGCTGTCATTTCTCTCTTCCCAAAAGTTATAGGATGATAAAAAAAGAATAGATGTTTTTTTGCTGCCTGGTACAGAATAATTAAAAACTTGATAGAGGTTTTTTTGAAAAGAATTTTATTTTTTTCTCTTTTTCATCTTGCTAATGATGAGGCTTGTCCTTTACCATGATATGTTGCTGTATATTTTGGAACAGGAGGCCATATTCTGGATTATTTTCCAGCTGTTCTCTGCTATAGAGCAGAAGGGTTGTTATTAGTAATATTACATTAAGAAGAAGATACGCAATTGATGCATCTTTTATAGGTTTGTAGGGCAAAACTTGTTTGGATCTGTACTCAAATCATTTTAATGATTTTATTTATTTTCAAATATGAACATTTCCTTTAACTGTATTCTTAAAACCAAATAAATGAAGCTTTTAGCCTATATTCTTCACATTCAGTAGTGGCCAAAATTGTGAAATTTTTTTGGGAAAAATGTATTTTCCTAAAGCTAGCTAATAACACCACTATTTTTGGGAGTAGTACCATAAAATTATATATCAATGGAAAGATAATTTAATCAAGAATGTAATACAATAACTTTTATGAAGGATTTGCTTTTAGAATATCAGTTACAGTATAAAGAAGAAAAATGAAACACGTAGAAAAAATGAGATATACAAAAATTATCACATCAGTTAATACTTAGTTGGGTAACCCTTAGCATGAATTATGGCCTTACAATGTCTTCCCATGATGTGAACCAAGTCTTTTAGTTCGGCAGCTGTTATAATGTGAAACCAAGATTGAATGATTGCTTCTATTAACTGGATTTTATTGCTGGGTCGCTTCTGACCAACAAGTTTCTTTAGTTGGCTTCATAGATTTTCAATTGAGCTAAGATCTGGGCTAGTCCCAGGCCATTCCAGCAGTGGAATATGATTATCTTGAAACTCCCCAAAAAAGAGGGGTGTTATTAGCCATCAAACCTATCATGCCAATAGACAAGAAAAAAAAAAAAAAGGAAAAGAAGAATCTGAATATTATCTGGTCTGGCAAAAATGGTATAAATGGTTAGAGGGAAGTGAAAAAAAAAGAGAAGAAAGAAAGAAAAATTGAATAAAAGAAAAGATATCAATAGAGTAAAATAAATTTTTAAATCAAATGAAATTTAAGAAAGAGATACGAGATATCAATAAAATAATATCATTATATAAGGTGAGAGAAATATTGTATATTGAAGAATATAGGATATTGATATTGTAACAATTCAGATATTATAGGTAGATGTTATAAAGATGATGTTTGTTGTAAATTGTTTTACTTGCATTTATAAATGTATTATGTGGTTTCTTAAATTAATAAAAATTTAATTTGTACATAAAAAAAAAAATGATTATCTTGAAACTCCCCAAAAAAGTTATTAGCCATCAAACCTCAAAAATATACTTTTCCCAAAAGGTCTCCACAATTTTGGCCTCTACTGTATATTTAGCTTTTATTTGTTTTCAAAATGGTTCCGTTCTTGTAAATTTTGTCATTTATAATGGATGAAAAAAACCTTCAGATTTAAAAAAGGAAAAACTTCTATTTAAGATAAGCAAGAAATAACATCTGTACATTAATGTACATGTCTGCTGATATTATAGAAGGATACTAGAACTTTGATATTTGTAGAGGCAGTGACTGGATATTTTTATTTATTTAAACTTAGTTTAATTATTAGTTTAGACAAAGAAATGTTATTTTTGTCAGCTTTTGAAGCATCCCAGCAAAACGTTTTTTAAGATATACTTCATATAGTAAAACCTCTAAAATTATTTTAGGATCAGGGAAAATATAGAACTTTACCCACCGAAAGAGATGGAAAGTAATTCTGATTTGCTCTTTTTTAATGTTATATTCTGTATGTTTTAAAAATGGTGCTGGATAAGTATATAAAGATTTCATTGTTATGCTTCTTAACAATGCCTACAAAGCAGTTTATGTGACTGTGCTGAAAAATTTCCTGGCCTATAATGGACCTGGCTCCAAACCTTCAGAGAAAATATCAAGTTTAAGGCTTCTCATTATTTTTTGTGAATATCACTAAGTTTCTAGCAGCTACAAATTCCAGTTTGAATCTCATTTCCACCTTGAAAAGGCTAGGAGGCTTAAGGAAATCATTATTTCACATGGTGTTAATAACCCTCAATTAACTGCCACACAGTACATGGAACCATGTACTATAATACTAATACTAATATAAATACATGTGTATAATAAAATTAGTCAGGTGCTATTTTCTTTAAGAGGGAATAATACCCCATTCCCTCCAATAGGTCTAATAGAAAAGGAATTATTGAACAATTCTTTGTTTTGCTGTATTTATTAAGTTCCTTTCTAGGCAAATTTATAACCCATCTCCCAATCAGGTCAGCTTTCATAACAGCCAAGCAGTCAGTAGGACAGCATCACAATATATTGTTGTTTTTTAATAAAATCAATCAGATTTAAGACAATATTAAGGAAAGATAGAAAGTAGCAAGGTTCCTCTTCCTCCAGCCATTGCGGGTCTGACGGGTGTAGAGCTGCTTGTCCCAGGATCCCTAGGGGTCACTGATTTGGCTGCCACTGCAAAGCATTGTGGCTGATTCACACGTGGCCGGAATTCCCGCAAGCCCACTTCCAGTTCCACTGCCGCCTTGAACCATTCCGACAGCTTTGGTGGTAAGCCACGATACACACATATCTGCCTCACCTCTCTATCCAGTCCAGACCGAAACTGGTGTACCAGTAACCGTTCAGGCCAGGAGCGGAGTCGCCTGGCTAAGGTGCGAAACTCCTTTACGTAATCTTTGGCCGGGCGGCCTCTCTGTTTCAAAGCTAGTAGCTCCCCTTCCGTTACTTGGACCCTTACACTATCTTCAAAACGTCCTCTTAAAGCCTCCAAAAACAAGCCGGTGAACTCTTTCGCATGTTCGCTATGGAGATCTGCAACCCAATTAGCCACCTCCTCGTGCAGAACAGCAGTGATGGCAATAACCATAGCCCACTGCGAAGGATACATACGACCATATAAGTCCATATGTCTAAGTATCTGACTTAGGAAAATGGACACCCTGTCAGCACTACCGTCAAAAGAGGCTTGTATCGGGGGAGGGCCCCACAGTTGCTGCGGCTGTTGTGGCCACACCCCAGGTAGCCACATAGGCGGATTACCAGCGCCTCGGGCACCTTGCGGATCCCTCTCCTCCATCCTGCGCTGGCTGGCTTGAGTCCATAGGCCTGCATGGCCCGCCTCCCGACCCCCTGGTCTGCGGTATGCATCCTGCTCTGTCTCACAGGAAGCCTCACCTAAAGAAGGGGTTTGAGGACCTGGAAGCTGCTGCTCTGTGGTCCTGACCCTGCTAGTCCCTTTATCCACCCGTAATTTGGGACTTGCTAAATGGAAACGGGGTTCAGGGCCACTCCCTCCCCCCTGCCAGGAGTTAGCGGGTTCCCCTCCTTCAATCCAGGGTTGCCATGATGCTGCATCCCGAAAGCTGGCTTCTCCAAACTTCTCCCTCAATATGTCCAAAGTGGAGGCTCCGAGGCCAGTGGAGTAGCTCCACTTGCCGTCATCATCTTCTATCCACTTCCTTTCCCTCCAGCCCTGGAAGGGGGCTTCGCCTTGATAAGGGGTTGGGGTTTTATGCATACTAGGGCCAGTGAGAGCGGAGCTATGCCACCAGTCACCTGACGAACTCTTTGTCCCACTCGGTACAGCAGGGTCCTGGTCCTCGCCAGTGCTCACCACTCGCTGAGGCTTCGCTTCCTTCGGCCGAACCACCGGAGGCTCACTGGTGCTTTGTACTTCAAGTGTCTCCAGGATGGTGGTGTCGTCCTCCGCCTCTCTGGGGTCCGGCAACACAAAGTCGGCGTTGGGATCTACTGCAACCCAACACCGTTTAAATAGCCACGCCACTCAGTCATCCAATAGGCTATGCTTCCGGGTTTCCAGCTCCGCACTTGTGCAAGCTGCCACGTCACCCGGATGCGTCAACAGGCGGTAACAAACACCTGAACGGCCCCTATCCTGTCCGCAGGGTGACCGTCCACCTACCGAGCCTCTAGCACCCCCATCACCATGAATATGCCCTTCCCCCCATTGCAGCCCACGATCCTTCCATAGTGTTTCCGGTTTTGCATGGTGAGCTCTTTGCTTTGCTCTTATCCCTGGTGTGTTGAGCGTGGGATGTCTCGACAGTGAGTACAGCTGGAATATTCTACTTGTCTTTAAGTATATTTTTTTACAAGAAGGCAACCTCTGAAATAGGTATTACTTTAAAAAAGTTCATTATGTTAACAGTAACAATTGATTAGGTTATAAGCAATTCCTTGGTGAGCTATAGGGTTAAACTTTAGTAAACATAAGCCATGAAAAAGTAACGACATTATAATACCTTGAATGTAAATTGTTCATTGAAGACAGGATTAAGGGTTTTCCTGTGAACTTTTGTCTCGTATTTCTTTTTTTTATCAGGAAGCAGGAAAACCTTCACATATGGATCAGATGTACCACCCATATCTAAAGCAGGCAGCTCAGCAGCTTGAATTATTCCTACCAGAAGCTGGAAAAGGAGATGAGACAGAGAGAAAGAATTAGTTCAGCAAAATTTTAATCAGACATTTAAGGAGAACTTGTTCCTGACATGTCAGTCAGTAGTGGGTTTCAATTTTGGCTGCTACTGGTTCATGCACAGAGATGTCTGGCCGGGTGGGCGGAGCCTCCCACTGCTGCTGTTACCAGTTTGCCTGATCCAGGATGAACTGGTAGCAACCCACCACTGATGTCAGTGCATTAATACATACATACTAGTCTTTTCATTTTCTGAATATGTGAGGAATATATGAGAATAGTAAGGCCTATTAAGTTCTGGACCAGATGAAGCTTTAACCAAACATGTTTCAGGAATTAGTAAACAAAAGGGTTACCACAGGACAGGAGGTGAATTACGTGAAGCCTGACTCAGGCAGTAACTGAACTAGAAAGATGTACTTAGAGACATTACTTCAATCAACAATTACTCTAAAAGGAATGTCTTGCTTTAAGTAGCAACAGCAATAGCACTTAGACTTATATACCTCTTCATAGTGCTTTACAGCCCTCTCTAAGCAGTTTACAGAGTCAGCCTATCGCCCCCAACAATCTGGGTCCTCATTTTACCGACCTCAGAAAGATGGAAGGCTGAGTCAACCTTGAGCATGGTGAGATTCGATCTGCCAAACTGCTGGCAGCTGGTGATAAGCAGAATTAGCCTGCAGTATTGCACTCTAACCACTGCACCACCACGGCTCATAGCTATAATCTGAACTAACTTTTGCCTTAAAGAATCCTTCTTGTACTTTATTTTCTTTCATATATTTAGTAAATTATATTTTAATCTAAAAATCTGTATACTGTTCATTTGGTACATCTTAGGATATAACCAATAGCCAAGTATTATTCAAAGAAATTTGACTTCCAAGGAAGATAGGACAAATTGAAGAAGGGAAGTCAATAACTACCACAAAAACCAAGGAACCAGTGAGTAGATGGTTCTGTGGAACCTCTCCAGATAAGGGAGAAATGGAGATCACCATTTGTGCTCTAGGAGACCTCAGGACAGCACTTTTCTGCAGGTTATCAATACTGGGTTTTAATTCATAAAATTCTAAGATCACATTTGTTTCAAACCTGATTGTTCTGAAAGTCATAATCCAAGGAATATTGGATTTTCCCTAATTTCTCCTCTTCTTTGGCTTCTTCTTTGTCTTCTCCATCAGTTAATCCAGTTTCAGCATCATCATCATCCTTAAGGGCCTGTAAACAATTAAGAATAATAAAAGTGCCAATAAGGACGACTGATTTATAAGCAGACCCCTAAAATAATCTCATCGAAAAAAACCAAAACAAAAACCAAGCACTTTTGCTTGTGAAGCAAAAAAAGCAAGCATGATGGCATTATGTTGTCTATATATATTTAGATTGGTCCAAATATACAAAAGAATTATCAGCAGCAAGCAGCAAAATAGCCATGAAAGAAGGAAAAGGCCTCTCTTGGGGATAGTGCAAGCAACAATTGTTTCAATGGCTGAAACATAAAGAAAATGTCAACTTGATACTTAATTTTAAAAATCAAATTGAATCAAACTGCTTGTCCAAAGACAGTTGTGAATAAGCATGCTTTTAAATAAGCAAGGTTGCAAAGTCCTCCAATTTAAACCAATTGTACATGCTGTGAATTACCTACATTAAAGCAAAGTGCTTCTGCAGAATTACTGCTATTTTAATGTTATTGCATATAATTTCTTCAAAAAGAGAAATGTCAAACAGCTTCAATGTTTTTGTTTTCATTTAGGTTGAACGTAGAAGCAAAGGTACCACTAAGACATTAACAAATGTATGATCACAAAAAAATCAGGACTCTTTTCATTCTCTTTTTCTTTTCATTGGATATTAATTAAAGATAGGCTGAACCAAAGTGATTTAAAGATATCTCATTTTTAAACACTTGCAAATTTATCTGAAATAAAGTATCGTTATTTTTTAAGAAGGCACTAAATAGTAATTTCCAACACAGACTTATAAAAAAGAAAATAAAAGTTAAAAGTATCGATTGAAGCAGTATTTGAAACAAATTTCCATCATATTATAATTTAGATTTAAAAATGGACAGACAATATTTTGTATGCTGACTTTTGAGACTTACTTTCAAATATCTATGTTTAACATTTCAATAAACAGGCATGGCTTCTCAAAAAAATATGTTCAAGGATTTAATTCAGTTAAGGTTATAATCTGATATCTATCAGCTACATTGACTTTGATGAAATTTTTGAATAAACATCATGAGATTGCACTGCATTATTTTTTATTTAAAACAACAGGGAAAAGAGGTCCAGTGATTACAATAAAATTTTAGGATTGCCAATTTTAGTTAGCATTAAACTTAAATTTGTTTCATCATGTATTTCTTAAAACAAAATAGGCTTATTTTAGGTGACAGAAACTATATGATTAAATGTACAAAAATATTACATCAATTGCTTCTTTTGCAGTATGAAAATAAATTGTAATGTATGAGGAGAAATCTCTCATTCTCATTCTGGCAATTTACCTTTCTATTTTAGACTACTCTTTTTTCTTTATATGTCTGCCAACTGGCACTGATGGCTATTTGAGCTAATGGAATAGAATTATCTAATTTCTATAAAATAAATCTGATTCAACCTCATTTGGAATTCAAAGATAGTAAGAGTAAAGCCACAAATCACATATTACCATATCATTTAATAAAATGTATTAAGAAAACAAGATTAAAAAGGATTTTAAAAATGTGCAACTCAGATGAAACCAAAAACAATCCTAATAAAGGAGAATATTTATAGCTCAGGATTGACATGAAGGGTTCTTTGTGCTCTCTGACCTTGCTTGTTTTCTTGCAGATGTTTCATTACCCAAACTAGGTAATATCATCAGTGCTAGTCTGAATCATGAGGCCCTGAGCACAGTCACTAGCACTGATGATGTTACCTAGTTTGGGTAATGAAACCTCTGCAAGAAAATAAGCAACCTCAGAGAGCACCAAGGGCCTCTCATAAACAATCCTCATAAATACATTATTAAAAAGCAGTCTCAAGCGGCAGTGCTTGGGGTTTGGATGGGGACAACAGGCTTCATCTGAATCCTGGTAATTCTGTGGGTTCAAGAGGCCTCAGGATCTGGGGGTTCATCATCCTTAGATCTGAATGGGGTTGCACTACAGACAAACCAGGTGCACAATCTGGGTTTTTCCTAGATGTCTGACTAGTCATGGCTAGCAGAGCCTTTGCACAATTTTGTGTTGTGCACCAGTTGCATCCTTTTCTGAATCATGAGACCCTGTGCACAGTCATATCCTAGACATCTCCTGGTTGAATTACTGCAACATGCTGTACATAGGGCTACTCTTGAAGAGTATTCGGAACTGCAACTGGTACAGAATGCAGTGGCATAGACAATTCTGTAGGCTCTAGAGGTGGCATGTGACACTGTTGTTACATGAGCTGCCCGGGCTTCCCGTTTGCGTCCAATTCAAGGTGTTGATCGTCACCTTTAAAATGATTTATGGCATGGCTTCAGGATATGGGTCCAGAGGAACTGCCTTACCCTGATTGGACTAATTCACCCCACTTGTTCTAGCAGAAAAGGCCTACTTTGGATCCCATTGGCCAACAAACTTTGGCCAGTGAATCCAGTGGAACCTTTTCTGCTGTGGCCTCTGCCTTCTGGAATATTCTCCCGTTAGAAGTGAGATTCGCTACCACACTCCTGGCCTTCAGGAAGAATCTAAAAACTTGGCTCTGCTGTTTGGCCAGGAGCCCCAACAGGGGCTTGCTACATTGGAAATGACTGATGGGATAGAGAAGATTCTCACCCCTAGGCTATCCATCATCTTGGTTCTTAACTTTAATATTTTTATTCTAATTTTGATTTTTAAAGCAATTTTTAACTGTTTTATTATATTGTAAGCTACCCAGAATTGCTGTATTAGTGAGAATGGCTACGTAGAAATTAAATAAATAAATGAATGAATGAATGAATAAATAAATAAATAAATAATATTGTTAATCATAAATACAAATTGATTCAGTCAGAAATTTTCTTTGGGAGCTCGCTGAAACACTACATTCCAACATTTTCTGTGGTGCTTAGAGCCCTGTATGGTAGTTCAGATGTAGAAACCAATGAGAGATAGGTTAACTATTTTAGTATAACAGCTACAGTTACAGAATCAGTTACAGAAGTCAGAATAGGCTTCCCCCTCAATCTTTGTGTGAATCCTCAAGTTAGTTTCTTGGAATGATTTAAGCCATGCTAATCTGTTCTTTGTCATGGTTACAGATCTTTTTACTGTCATTCGAGGCCATTCCTATGCTCTCTAGAGTTCAATTAGAATGTACTACTTTGGAGAAATTTGTATTTTTTTCATGCTCCATTTGGAATTGAATAGAGGCACTTGATTGGTGGAAAATATAATGGTAAATTAAATTAGATTATTCAAAAGGGTATTTATTCATCTTCTCTACTCCCATACACATTTCCTTTTTTTCCCCTTTTAAAATAAATAATCTTCATCTTGATCTTCTGCAATGTTAGGTTTTTACACTTTCTATTACTAGAAATTATACTTGAATCCCAATAGCTCAGTTTGAACATGAGGCATACTTGCCATAAAATTTAGCTAGAAAAAAAAATTCAGCCTGATATGATTTAAAGCACTCTCCTCTCTCTTAACCAATTGTGACACAATAAAGGTTAGAGACTAATGATGCAATTATTTTTGAGACATGCTGCTAAATTCCCAATTTTTTTTTTCAGTTTATCACTTATATGATTAGATCACCTCTTTTCACAAAGGTTGAACTAAAGCAAATTTCCTTCCTCTTTCAAACAAGAAAAAAAAATAGCATCAGAAAATTATACAGCCATTCTGGTACTTTGACATGTAAAAGAAGACAAAATCAGTGCACATCAAAATCTGAAATGTCTAACACTCTTCATCTTAGCACAAGTTACAAAGAATAAAAGAAATAAGTATTAAATCCTGTAATATAAATAAATCAATTTGGTTCAGCCTCTTGATGTGTGTAAAAGCTTTGCATAAATCTCAGGCTGAGGAACCACAGCTATCGGGGCATTAAGTACATTAGAGATTTACTTTACATGTGTCCAAAGAGCAAAATAAACCTACCGCAAGTGACAATCCAGAACAGTCATGAGACACAACATAGATAAGGAGGACATAGAAGGAAGAAATAAAAATTAAAACATCCACACAAAAATATTAGTAAAACCATGGAGAAATGACCTTTTACATATATTCTTTCTACTGAATCTTTTAACCTACTTAAGACTTATAATCTTTGGCCTTTCTTTTAAAGGAATATTTTCCTATGAATAGATTTCCCTAGATGCGTATATATATAATACATATAAAACAAATATGATGTACCCTAGAAGTAAAACTTATTGAAAACAGTAGAATGAACATACAAATAAACTTGATTAGGGTACGGTAGTGAGATTCAAAAAGGGGCATGCATTTGAAACATTTGATAGTTGTAAGGACAGTGTAAAATATCCTTCAAAGGAGCTTACTCAAGGCAACTTCATATTCTTGATAATTGTGTGACAATGGTTTGGCCTGTCTTCTTCTGGGATGTCTTTTTTTCACTGCTCAGTGGAAAAATCCCTGTACTAACAAAGACTGACATCTGGCAATAGACATCAGCTAGTGTTGACAAGTTGCTGCCATCTGATTTGAGTTAACCATTGGTTAGAAAAGAGAATCTCAATTGATCTACAGAGTATACTTCCTGAATGGCAAGGGTCTGAACTTTTTTGCATTTGGCAGTGGGAATTATTTCTGAATAAGCCCATTTAATATGTGATCACTATACCATTGGTTTTAAATTATATTCATGCGTTCTAAATGCTGTATTTAAACGGAGTCTATTCACATGGACATGAAAAAAGGTTCTTTTGAATAATGACAGCATTTATGGTGTAAAAGATTCCTGTATTCTGAAAACAGCCATCGCAAACCAGGTGCCTTCTAGAAAAAATTAACTTACAATTGCATGATCTTCACACAAGATGACCAATAAGGAAAAGGCTACTCTAAAATGTACTTAGTAAGATGGAATTAACCACAAATATCAATGGAAAATGTTTATTGCTGATGCCCATGAAACAAGCTACTATAAGCTATTATACTTTTTCCCCCTGTTACTGAATTAGTCTTCTGGTCAGATATGATTTTTTACTATGCATATTGT